ACCAGGTGGACAGCCCTGTCAACTTATAGAGACATTGTCTGAAAATAAAAAGAGGTAGAGATGTTGATCAATGGCAAAAAGCCCTGGGTTCAATTCCCAGAATTGTAAAACAAAAATGTTTCTAAAAATCTGAATTTGGAGAACAAATTAAAGAAAATATTTTATATAAAAATTATTACTTCCTTAAAAAATGACTGTATTTGAATTATTTTTAAAAATGATGGGCTACTGTGGTCTTTGTTTTATGGTACTTTATAGGGGTTTTATTTGCTTTTTTATTACTTTTGTTTTAGAATTGAATAAACTTCATTTTATTTACCCATTCATTATTTGAAGGTCATTTTACTTCATGTTTCAATTATCATGAATAATCCTGACATGAAAATTCATGTCAAATTTCCATGTGAATAAATTACTTCATTTTACGTTGGTGTATACATTGGAGTGGAATTGCTGAGTCTCATATTTAATCTTTTGAAGATATGTCAGACTATATTCTAAAAGGGTGGTACTATTTTACAATCCATTAGAGTAGATGAAGGCTCCATTTCTCCACATTCTCACCAATATTTATCCTTCTTTTATAGTCATCCTGCCAGATATGATTTGGGACCTTTGGTTTTTAACTTGCATTTCCTGAATGTCTAATGATGTCAAGAATATTTCACTTTGTAAGCACAAATGGTTATTTCCATTCCTCCTTTGGATATATACCAAGTCAGATTTCTTGCCCATTTATTTACTATGTTAAAACATATAGACATGAAATTTACCATTTCCATTATTTTTAGGTATGTAATTCAGTAGTATTTAGTACATTAAGGAATAGACACATTATTATTATGGAACTAATGACCAGGGTATCAGTTTGCATCAGATGGACCTGGGTTGGAATGCAGGTTTTTATATGTACTGGCTGGGTGGTCAAGACATGCTACTGAACTACTCTGAGATTCAGTTTTGTCATCAGAGAATACTGGGCTCTTTAACCTATGAAAGAATTAAATAAAATAACAAATATAAAAGCACAGGACAGGGAGTAAACTTGTCACTTTTTCTTTGGTAACATAAAGTGAGTTTCACTGTATTGTTTTTTCTTTAATATGTAAATTTTAGTTATTTAGGAGATTAAAGCAGAAGACTAGATATAATATTTTTCTCTTTTTTATGAGAATTTTTATCATTAATAAAATCTTTGAAGTTATATTTTTCACTCTTTAAATATTCCTACTTTATTAAAAAAAACTTATTATTTCTAATTCACCTGTTAAGTCCTAGTAATAAACTAAGCTTTTGTGACTGTTTAGAAAATATCTTCTAAGATTAGAAAACCAAATATTTGCAAAGATAAAAAAACAATCAGTCTTACTTATAAGTAAAGATTTTCACATCTTCTGTAAGTATCAAAAAATTCTTTAATTTACCAGAATCTGGAAATTTTTGGTGATATTTCATTTTTCTTGTATGTAAGATCTGGCAGATGACCAGCTAGGCACCATGTTGATCTTCAGGGTATGTTAAAGCAGACAGTGGGGTAGGACGGAGTCCATGACAAAGTCAACCACCCTGTACCCACTCAGCAGTTCTTTGTGCCAGCGTTTTCTAGGGAAAGTCATCTGGTGTGGATTCACACTGCACCTTGCTGAGGTGGGCCTGATCTTTCCCTTGCCAGGTAAATACTTAGAAGCATGTCCATGGTGGTTCCCAGGTAAGGTGTCGCATGAACATGCTGAAGAGAGAGGATTTTAGTTCTTTCTAAGAAATAATAAGATGGTCATCCATGAATTAATATAGACTTATATAGAGAAGTTTTAATCTTTATTTAAATAGGTAATTATTTTGACAAAACCTTTATATTTAAGAAAAAGAAAAGTCTCCAGCTTACTCTTTCACCTCCAGTCCATTTCCAATTTGTAAACATGCTCTGATACGTCCAACCACATGGCTTTGCAGGTGGTCTTACCAGAGCCTGTGAATAACTATTTACCTACCAGATCTTGGGTCAAAGGTCAAGATTGTGTCTATGCATTCTGGAAGAACAAGGAGGCTTGTGTAACTGGAGCAGAGTCTTCAAGAGGAGGCTATCAATACAGACAGAACATGTGGACCTGAAGGTGTTGGAAGGATTCTTACTGCACCTTCTTAACTGTACCTGCTCCTCCCCACCCCACACACTACACCAGGCCACACCATAAGTTCTTAGCATCACTGTAGTTTATGATTATAATGTTATTTCTATAATAAACTAGTTAGTGCTCATCTTTCCCTGCCAAGGAATGTCCAGTACTTTCCCGGCCAGGAATGTGCAGTACTTTTCTTATTATTACAACACTATGAGATAGCAAAGTGACTAGTGTAGGAAAGGTATTCAATAATATCCTAAATTAATGAAATAAATACATGAATGAATGAAAAATGAATAATCTATTTTAGAGAAGCAAAAAATACAAGTTCTTCCTATTCTTTCAATCTAGTCACTCTTCTTTAACTTTACTGTCTTATTTTTTAGATAGGAGAATTGCTTGGAAAATCTGTTCTACAGATGAGCAACAACCTAACCATATATATATATATATATATATATTTGCTTCTTGAAAAAATGAATGACTGATATATAATATATATATATACATACACACACATATATATGTATATATGCACCTGAAATATAACAATAGAAAAGAAGAGAAATAAATGTTTTGTAATTGACAAAAATCAGCAACTCTGTTGTAATAAAGGGAGATTCCATGGTTCACAGTGAGCAACAGCACAACCAAGGAGCATGCAGGCCTGTGGCTAAAGTCAGGCAAGGGGCAGTTTCCATAAAGAGAAGGATTATATGTGAAACTACACTCCCGGCTCTTCTGAAAATAGGGCATTGCTTTCTTCTGATAAAAGAGTATAACTCAGTCTTCTGTATTGTTAATTATGCTTACAATATTACTTGTGTATTCATTCATTAATAAGCTGTAAATTACTTTTCCTAATTTCAAGATCATAGACCATTGAATGTTCTGAAATCAACTTACTGGGTTACAAAGAACATTTTTAACAAATGAAATAGAATTTTAATAACATTATATTCCTTCTATTTCAAGCAAGTAGTGGTTTTTTTGTTTCTTTTTAACACTGAAACACTACTTTTAATGACGTATAAAATATTTTAAATAATCTTTAATAATTCAAATAATGTAAGTTAAACTTAAAGTACATTTTTAAATAATTATAATCAATAATGATGAGGAGCAATGAGATAATTTTATACATTCCTGATAGGAATATAATCATAAATTCAATGTTTTAAAAAATGTTTTTATTAGTGCATTATAGTTATACATTGGGGTTTATTTTGATCATACAAGCATGGAATATAATTTGCTCCACCTGTGCATCTTTTGTTTTCCTTTTACATCTCTATATCTGTGTGTGTACTTGGCTGAAAGGTGAAATATATTTCTCACTGTGGATCATGGTCAAATATAGAAGTATATAAATATATATATAGAAAGTCACTGCTTATAGAACCCCCCTATAGGCTCCAAAGTCAGACAAGTTGGAACACTAATCCTGGCTTTAAAACACTACCTCTTCTACAAAATGGAGCTAATAATTAATCTAAAATATGTAAAATAATATCATAAATAATAATGACTAATATTTATTGAGACCTTTCAATGTCATGAAAGGTCCATCTCAATGTCATGAAAGGTCCATCTCCTTTAATCTCCAAAACAACCCAATAAAGGTAACTTAACCTCATTTTACAGGAGAGGAAACAAAGATACTGAGAACTGAAGGGACAGTCTATATGAACCCAAGAGTATTTATCTCAGTGATCTGCACATAAATAAGTGCACAACCTTGTTAGGAACTACCAGAAACTATTTAATGAATCCTACTTTAGCATCTTGCATGGAGCAGGAAAAGTTCACAAACATGTGTGATGGATAAAATGCAATCTTTGCACTCAGAGAATTATCCACAATAAGGTCTAGGAAATCAAATAAGTCAGAAATTCTTCTGAACTATATTCATGAAAGGAAAGCTTGGAGAAAGAAGGGTGTAGAGCAAGATCTTCCCCGAAGAGGAAGACTCTGCATAGCTAGAATGAAACAGTAAAGGTACAACCAAGGCCCAGGGGAAGAAACAACTGTACATGAAGACTGACAACAGAATGTAGAGAGAAGTGTTGAATACTAGATTAAGAATTTGTATCCTGTAGCCAAAAAAAGAAAAAACCCCACTGAAGACTAAAATGAGTAATGATAAACATGTAATCGCTAATACTACATAATAACCTAGAAATAATTACTATTTTAAAAATTGGGTATTTTGACATGAAGAGCAAATTTGATTTTTTTCAATGTTATAGGTGGAAAGTCAACCTTGTTCAAGGAAAATTATGAGGATTAATAAAAACATTCATTAAACTCTAGAATTTTCTAAAATATTCTATTATAGAAGTAAGTTCAAGTTTTTTTTAATAGGTAACTATTACATAAAGCATTTTAGCTTAAAGGGGAATATCTGCATAAACATGAGTTTTTATGATAAATGCATTTTTCAGTTTGTAGAGTTTGAGGACAAGATTATTGATATAATTTTCAAGTTTCCTTAAATAATTATGGACATTAAATCATAGTTTAAATATAACGACACAAAGCCTTTTGCCTAAAGAGAATTTATACCAAAAAAGTGGCCAAATATATTATTCATCATATTTGATCCTTAGTATTCTACTATTCATTTTATTTTCTACTATGGCCAGAAGAAATATATGCATATTGTCAAGTCATATATAAACTAGTACTGAATTTCTTTTCTTCCTAATTTCAAATACCTGCATTCTGATATTTTAAAGGTCTAAACAGACTCAAATTAAAATGAATTAAATAAAACAAAAACTCTTATATCTTAAAACATGTTTAAAGTTTTAGAAATCATATGGCATCTAAAATGCAATCTTACATATTTTGGGTTAAAAAGATTGAAAAAGCGACCTTCTGAAAATTGAGTCCTTGTGCCCAGGAACAATTCTTGGGGTTTGGAACATCTTCCCATAACAGCTTCTTCATTCTACAAAGGATAAATAAATAAGTCATAAGAATTACAGAAAAACATGCATATTGAAAATGCTAAAAGTTAATGAATATACAAAATAGAAATTGGTCCTTCAGGGCAGTTATGCTTCAGGAGGGTCTAATTCATTTTTACATTCTGTCCCATGAAGAGTGCCATCAAATTTCTACCTAGAGCCAAGTTAATGATGCATCATAATAAAATAGCTCATTTTATTGAAAGCTTGTGCCAGGCAACAGGCTAAACACAGATTTTTTTGCATAGATTTTCCTCAAAAAATAAAATATTGAAAATGGCTACCACATGGGTGTCAGAAACAAACCTATCTGATAGAGCCCCAGCAACTCAACTGACCAAAAAACAAAAACAGATTCTGAAATCTCTCCCTCTTTTTTCCTAGAAGATAAAAGTCTCTATAGAGATTTGGCACGTGTGAAATAACCTCAATGGTCAGGAGTTCTCAGCAGGGAATGATATGGCAGCCATAGAACCATCCAGGGAACTCAAGGCCATTTGTCTGACAAGCCAGGCAGGGCTGTTCTCTAAAGAGCACAGTGACTGCTCATTGCAAATGAACAACTGCTCCAGGTCACAAATAAAGTCCATTTTTAAAGTTCCGTGATCACCACTAAAATCTTCAAACCAAATTTGAGGGCTCCAAGAGCCATTTTTATCACATCCAAGAATATGCCCAGGCTTCTATTTTTAGTCTATTAACTCCTGAGTGTATAATAAGAGGGGTTAAAAAAAAAAGACTCAACTAAATTCTTCCTTAAGGTATATGTTGTTCTATGAAATTGAAAAGTCATTTCCTGAAAGCAAAACTGTTTACTTTATACCATCTTAACTGTATAATGAATACATACAAAAACATTTAGAATACTTCAACATTCATGATTTGAGTTTTAATCTTAGAACTTTTGCCATAAAGATTCTTAACATTAAGTACAATACCTTTGGTGTGATATTAACAATGTTCCAAGCAGTAAGACAGAAGAGGAAATAATTATCGGCACAATTACATATAGACCTGCATCATTCTTGTGTTTTTCAATATCATCTGAAAAATAAATATAATTCACACAATTCAGATACTTAAGGCAATCTTAATTTCTTTCTGTATCAAAATTATAGTAGACTTTTTCAGATTTCAAAATAAATCTTTGTCTTAAAAAATAAGAGGGAGACAAAAGTATATTATATCCACATTAATGTTTTGTTTAGCATTATACTTAAGACCTAGCAAAAATTTTTTCCAAAATTATTTATTTGCCATGCCACTCCATCAGATTATCTTAAAATATGAGTCAAAGTATCAAACTTGTGATGATGACACAGCCACATCAATGTTTATAATGGCTCAATTCACAGTAACTAAGCTATGGAGCCAAACCAGGTGTTGAAAGACACCTTCAACAGATGAGTGGATAAAGAAAATGTGATACACACACACACACACACACACACACACACACCACACACACACACACACATCACACACACACACACACACACACACACACACACTTTGGAATGTTACTCAGCTATAAAAAGAATGACTTTATAATTTTTGCTGGTAAATGGATGGATTTGGAGACTATCATGCTAAGTGAAATAAGCTAATCCCAAAAAACCAAAGGTCAAATGTTCTCTCTGATATGTGGAGGCCAACACACAAGAAGGGGGAGGGAAGAAGAATAGAAGTTCAATGGATTAGACAAAGGGAAAGGAATGAAAGGGAGGGGCGATTGAAATAGGAAAGACAATGGAATGAATTGGACATAACTTTCCTATGTTCATATGTGAATATACCACCAGTGAAATGCCACATCATGCATAACCACAAAAATGGGAAGTTATACATCATGTATGAACGATATGTCAAAATACACTCTACTATAATGTATATCTAAAAAGAACAGATTTTTTTAAAAAAGTTTTCATGATGAGTCGTAGCATCTTCTCCCAACAAACCCAATCTAAAATACTTGCCAAACTTTATCTTGTTCCCTCCAGACACACTGACCTCCTTGCTGTTTCTAGAATTACTATGCTCCTTCTTCAGGGCCTTTACATAAGGCTACCCCTTTGCCTGGAGTGTTCCTCCCTTTTATACGCAAATATCAGCACCACGAAATTACCATTTCTGGCCTTACTAACTAAAGCAACACATTTTTAACTCCATTCTTTCATCTTACTTTTATTTTCCTTTAGGTACCTATTTCTATCTGACATTATATATTACATACTTTCTTTGTCCATCACTCCTATTAGTGCACTGGAGTTTAGGCTCCATGATGACAGAATCTTATGTTCACCCTTTAACCTCCAGTTCTTAGAACAATATTATTTCTTTGCCACGACACTCTATCAGATTACCTTTAGATTATATCAATAAATGTTTGTTAAATACTGAAATAATTTTTAAAATTATTTTCATTCTAAAATCAGATAAAATGTTTCTTTATAAAAACTACATTATTGGGAACCAAGCATGGTGGGGCACACCTCTAATCCCAGCGGTTTGGGAATCTGAGGCAAATTCAAAGTTAGCTTCAGCTGTTTAGCAAGGCCTAAGCAACTTAGTGAGACCCTGTCTCAAAATAAATAAATAAAAGGGCTGAGGATATGGCTTAAGTGCCACTGGGTTCAATACCCAATACCAAAACCAAAAGTATATTATTGGGTTGTTTGAATTTGAATACAATTAAAGAAAAATAAGATCAAATCATTGGTAATTCAAGTACAATAAATCACAGTAGAAATATAAAAGGTGCAGTGAATGTAACTGTATAACTATCTATTTTTATTCTTAGAGAAAAGATATTTTCTTTTGAACCATCCTATTTTACATTTACATAAGACTTGACTCTTCCATGATCTCATCAGAAAAAGAATAATCCAATGGCAACATAATTTCAAATAAATCTGGAAACACATATCAGTGTAAAATGATCTAAAAGAAAAACTTTTACCTTGGGTGAAACTAGTAGTTATCTTTGGTTTTCCCACTCCTTCCATAAATACTGGGTAAAGACTGAACTGATATTTCTCAATAGGGATAAAATGATCTGAGGAGGAAAATACAGTAAAAGTTCATTTCTGCTTAACTAATACTGAGGAGACCCTATTTTTTTAAAAAAAAAATATACTGTTTTCCAAACAGAAGTCAGCATCAGTTATTTATAGACTGAACTGATGATGGAGTTTTGAAAATAACCTAAGCATTCCACACTCCCTAGTAATGATAATAGTTTTCCAAACAACTTTTCAAATATATTACTCAGACACAGAAGATTGTGATTTTTCAAAGGTGTGTTTCAGTTTTAGCCACTATGTTCAATTCAGAATAAGAGCTTTCTTTCCTTCACTTTTCTAGAATAATATGTACTCCCTTCTCTCCCTTATCCTCAAAGTAGGTAATATTTCCCTTTACATATAGGAATTTAGTTAACTTAGTTTTCCCAATCAAAGGTAACTGAAAGACTAAAGTCTTGTGAAATCCTTTGCAAAACGGATGGATATGATGACCAAGCCTCCTCTTGCAATATATGGAGGTCTAGATACCAGGAGAACGGCCATGCTTGTGGCAAAGCTCAAAGACCTAACAAGGATTTTCATGATTGTTAATAACATGTGAATATTATTCTAGAAGAGGCAGATCTTTTTGAAGCTTAAATTCTATATCCCCATTATTTAAAGAAAGGCAGAGAGAGTAACCACCTAGACAACAGTGGTCATGAACTCAGTTCTCTATCAAGAATTTATAAACAAATTTACCCTGATGCTAAATTATAAGTTTCTGGAATGAAATGAAAGTGTAAGTCCTTTGGATGATTTTCTGTGATAAGATCATGGTAATCCTTAGTTTACCTACTTACTTTCCCTTAATCCTTACTCTGACTTGGAGAGGCTGTATTAAACACTTACAATCTGTGCTTTACATGTCCCTTGGGATAACTGTTATACTGCTGAGAGATCACACTGGCGTAAGTGGTTACTTAGATGCTTAGATTTGTGGCCTACCACTCCCACTCATTGCTAGTGACATTATAAGCGAGTACATACTTTGGGAAAGCAATTTGGCAATAGTTTTAAAAAGGTAAAGCTGAAAGCAACATAAATAATCTCAAGTAGTTTAAGCAGATTTGGAAATAAAAAAATTATATAGGCATTAAAAATAATGATAGAAAGGATTGAGTCAAATATATATATGATATATGATTACAATGATGTAAAGTATTAAAATGAAAAAAGGTCAAGGGAAATAGAATCAAATGTTTTGATAAGGTGATAGAAGTATTAAGCTGGTAGTACTATCTATGTTTTTAAAGTTTTCATTAACTAGCTAAATTATTTAAATTAATTTATATAGTATCATACTAATCCATGAGCTAAACTTTTTAAAATACAGTAAATTTAGGACTGGGTATGTAGCTCAGTGGTAGAGGGTTTGCCTCACATGCATGAGGCCTTAGTTCAATCCCCATTACCACAAAAAAAAAAAAAGAAAGAAAAGAAAAAAAAAGTATAGTACACTTACCATGGATATAATATTTCTTAACATTTGAAGGGATTCTAAGCCATTTAATTTCATCATCTTCATGGAGATTTTTCCATTCAATGATAAAGTACATGAGACGGTAATCACTGGGTGATAGCACCCAGGAAAGAATCACACAACTGCTGTTTAAAGGATAAACACTGAGCGACTGCATGAGATTTACTGAAGGGAAAAGAGAACATTTATTTTTAAATTAAAATTAATGAAAATTTATTAATACCCTAGAGGAACTTATGACCTATTGGATGAAGGGAGAAAAGACAGCAGACAATTTATGTAAATGTAATACATACCAATTATTTTTCCATCATGAGAGTCACATAAGCAGAGAGAGATAGGAATACATGATATGGAGGAGAAAAATGATTCCACCTAAGATCTAAAAAAAGGAATTTTCTCGAGAGTCAAAATTGTTCTCAGCTGGAATCCTGCACAAGCCTATTAACCATCCTCTAGGATTCTCTCCAAACTCTTCTCTCCTGCTGACACAGTGATACTTTCAAAGCAAAAAAATCTGTTCATTTTAATACCCTCAGCACAGATTCTGACTTAAAAGCCTCCAGTCGATTTCCACATCTGAGCCTAAAATTCCTATCATGCCAAAAAGGCTCTGAGGGCTAAGTCTCAGCCTACTTCTCTGACTTTTGCAAATTTCTACAATAAAGCCATCCTGGTTTTCCTTCTTTTCTTATCCTGTGCTAAAAAGACTTTTGATCAGCTGCTCCTCTGTTGGGACCAATGTTCTTCACCCCACCCCACAAATGAGGAAATCTAAATTCTATTCACACTTCAGATTTCAATTTAATACCATTTCCTCAAGGTGACTTCTCTGATCCTCAATGCCAGGTCATGTTCCTTTTTATTTATTCATTTTTTAATTTCATAAAATTATATTCCTTTCTTAAGGACACTTAGCTTATAAGTAGCCAATCACTTGTATGATTATTTGATTCATATCTATCCCATCCATTGACTATGCCTCATTATAGTTTTTTTCTCATGTTGAAACTTCCCCACTTAGCACACTGAAGCATTCAACAAATACTTCTAGAACACATTTACTGAAAAAAATTTAAGTATAAATATTGTACTGGGCATTGTCAAACTTACAAGAAGTTTACACAATAAGTTAAAAAATGTTGCATTTTTATTAAAAACTTATACTTTGAATATATAATCAGAATTCAAACTCCTATTGAAAGTGGTCCTTGATTCTCTGATTAATCATATATCAAAATTAATGAAAAAGGGTTTGCTCCTCACAGTAAATGAAGTCTACAGTAATTTTCAAATCTCAGCAATTATCCTGTATTCATATTACTATGAATGTATAGTGTTTTGTGTATAAAGTATTATATGTAAATATACCACATATTATAAAGTACATATATATAGTAGACTATCTATAATATATATTTATACATAAAATACTATATGAATTTATTTTTGCACATGCACAGAGAAAGGGGACACTGACCTACAACCTCCATTGCTCCAAAAGTTTAAGTATTAAATTTAGTAGAATATTTTCAATTATTAGAATACCATTTCAACAATGTTCTATCACATGAACATAACCTGTGTATACTATATTTTGTTATTTTTCAGTCAAAGAAGAGATGAAGCATGAAAGAGAACCCCAGGCTGCTCAGAACATAAGTTTAAAAGGGAATGCTTTGCAAAAGTTAAATATTAAAAGGGACAACAGATTACTACTCTGTATATCTTCTTACCTTTGCTCATAGCCCATGACAATGTTAAATTAAAATTTTCAAAAGAAGCACCAATTGAATTGATGGCCAGAACTGTAACAGTATGTGCTTGCTCTGTCCACAAGAAAGTGGATTTGGTGTGATTTCCCACATCTTCTGACCATGTTCTATTGTGGGAACTATGATGCTTTACCACATATCTCCTCACACTGCACAATGAGTCATTTTTCATCAGGGGCTGTAGTAAACATAAAAATTGATTAGTTTTAAGAACACAGTGCTTTTTATATCAGCTGAGCTCATGCAGCTTTTATACATTTGCCATTGGGAGGCAGGAATCAGACCAGGCATTGCCTATTAATAATGCGGAGGGACTGGGAAGGTGGGGAGAGATGGAGGCTGCCTGGGACCACAACCACCATACAGATGTCTGGGTAATTATGGAGCATAGGAAACTTACTCTCCCCCCCCACACCCACATTTTTCTTTGTTTTAGTTTTTTGGTTTTTTTTTTCTTAAGATTGGGGGAATAAATCCCTCAAAAATAATGAAGTAATGAGATAATTAGGACACTTTTCTAATAAGACACTTCACTCTAATTTTAGAGAAAGAAAGAATGACAAGACGTAGGGTTTCCTCATCTCAAAAGCAAATAAGAATTAACTCTCATATTCTGTAAAGTAACAAGAAAGAGCTAAGAAGATATTACTCATCATTTACATTAATCCTAGTAAGATCTGTCAGTCATTGCTCTGATATGCTTGGAAGATTGGGGAAAGGTTAACAAACAACAGAGGCTATCAGCATTTCTGTCCTATAGTTTTATTTTTCTCAAATCACACTAGGTCAAAGATTACTATGTAAAATATATACTGAGTACAACTCTATTCTATTCTACAGAGCTTAAAAACATACCCAACTTTTCCAATCATCTTGACCTGTTAGAGGTAAGATTAAAAGCTACCAATCCCTTATAAAGCCATAGAAAGGTGACTACATACTAGAAATCTGCTTTTATTTTTTTCCCCCATTTAGATGCCTCTAAGTCAGAAATGATAGAGAAAAACAAACACATGTATTTCTTAGAATCCTGCGCATAGATTGGGAGTAAGATGTTAGCAGCTACAGCAAGAAAGAAATATCTCGAAAGTCATGCAAACTTTGAATCTTATTTGAATAATCCATGTCAGTTTTAATATACAAATATTTATTATTGTAATCATCAATAATAAACATCTTCTACAAGATGCTATAAACTCATATAGTTTTTGCCCCAGCCCTAATATTAGCCATTTCTCTCAAGATCCCTGTTCCTTTCTTTCTTTTTCTTTTTTTTTAAACATTTCTGATTGTAAATGGACACCATATGTTTATTTTTTTATTTTTTATGTGGTGCTGAGGATCTAACCCAGTGCTTCATACATGCTAAGCAAGCACTCTACCACTGAGCTACAACCCCAGCCCCTGCTGTTCCTTTCATTGGATAATGATATTAGAAATAAATCTGGGCATGCTTCTTATACTTGAGTGTCATTACTTTTAGCTCTTAGCTTACAAATCACGGAAATGTACGTGTGAATTAACTCCTGCATATACATATATCTCTAAATATTCCCTCAAAAGTCCACCTATACTAAGCCAAATATGAGTTTATATTCCAACTCGAATCCATGATCATGTCTTCAATCCTAATTAATGACTATATGGATCACTCTAGCCTCCCTCCTTGCTTATCTGTAACTTCCCCTTCCAACAGTGAGAAACCTGTATCTCACCACTTGCCATTCATTTACTTACATGTTCTATTCTAGGATATGTATGGTGGTTCAATACTGTTAGTCTATACTCTCATGAGAGACACATCAACTACATTTCAGTGTTTATTGTGGTTTCGTTCAGCTTTAGTAGTAAAACTCCACACCTTTCCACTTAAGGACTTTTCTCTGACCACCTTGTCATGGTCTATATTCCATCCTGGGATGTTCCAACATCCTTGGATTTTTTTTTAAAAATCTACATGCGTTTCAAATCACTCCTTGTGCTATAAAGCTCATGGGTTTTGGCAAATGCACAGTGCTATATACCTATCATTTCAGTATTACACAGAACAGTTTCACTTTTGAAGGATATCTTGGTTGCTTCCAGTTTAGAGTGATTTATGAATGAAGTGGTTTGAACATCTATGTGCAAGTTTTTATGTGAACAAATAAGTTTTCAAATCACCTGGGTAATAACTGGGAGTGCAATGCTGCATCATATGGTAAGGCTACATTTAACACTTTAAGAAACTGCCAAACCTTCCCAAGTGGAGGGATGATTTTGCATTCCTATCAGCAATAAATAAAAATTCTTATTGTCCTGCATCCTCATCATCAATTTGTATTTCAGGTTTTTTTTTGTTGTTGTTGTTTTTGTTTTACTTTAATCATTCTAATAAGTGTGGAATGGTATCTCATTGTTGTTACACTTCAAAAGTCCTTAATGACAAATTTTGTTAAATGGTTTTAATATTTTTATTTACCATTAGTATATTTACTTTGGTTAGATGTATGCAATTGGGTTGTTTTCCTATTGTTTAAATTTTAAGGGTGCTTTGTGTAATTTGGTTATAAGTCCCTTATGAGATAACATTAATCCATTAATTAAAAAAATAAAATATAAAATATAAAAATAAATAGAATACTGACTAGTAAAGGAAAGGGAACAGGAGTAGAAGGAAGGGAGAGAAGTGCTGGGGACTAAATTGGAGCAAATTATATTCCATGCTTGTATAATATTGTCAAAATGGACCCCAATTTTATGTATAATTATAATGCACTAGAAAGAAAGAAAGAAAGAAAGAGAGAGAGAGAGAGAGAGAAGGAAAGAACCTTCAAAATCTGAAACACATCTGGTCCCAAGCACTTAGCATAAGGAATACTTAACCTGTATTAGAACATGACCTAAAGTATAGTGTGAATATGCATTGTTCATAGTTATAAATAAATAAATGTAGGAAAATATATGAATCTCCCATGCAAAATCTCAATAATTTAAGTAGATCCTCCACTCTCAAGGAGGTGGAGCATACAGCTCTCACTCCTTAAGCAGGGACAGTACATATTGAGTTTATTCCCCAAAGTACAAAATGGAAAGGGGGAAAAAAGAGTAATTTCACAATGGGAAACTGATAAACTACCTCAGTCAAGTGAGCAGCATTAGAACCAACTTTATTAAGTCACATTGGTAATAGGCAGCCTTAATATGATATGATGGAATGCCTCTTTACATCAGTGGTCTTTCTCCCAAAAAGTAAACATTAGGGAACATCAGACAAAACCCATTTCTACAAAATATCCAACCAGTAATCCTCAAATAAGTCAAGTTCATCAAAAACAAAGTCTAAGAAACTTTTACATCTAGGAAGAGTATAGGGTGTCATGACTACTGAAGCTTTAATGTGATGGACCAAAAAGAAATCCTTCAGAAAAAAATAAGGAAATCTCAATCTGAATAAAAGAATTTCAGTAAATAATAACATATGTTGTTTAATTATAACAAAGTATAATGTTAATCTAAAATGTTATTAATAAACTTGATATGAGATAGATGGGAATTTTCTGTATCTTTGCTATTTATCTATAAATACAAAACTGCCCCAAAATGAAGTTTTTATTTAACTTAAAGCCAGAGGAAAAAA